ATACATGCCTTGCAAGTGACGTCACACTAGGGAACATCTAGGGACCATCTAGGGAAGGACAGGGCCCGGCACCATACTGGTGGTTGACTTCACACCGCGCGGATGCGCTTAGCAAGGCGTAGGATGACGCTAACGGCCCGGACATGCGCTAACATGCACCATATTTTCAACAAAGGTACCGTGAACGTAGAAAAACGTACTGAGGTTACGATAATGACGTTTATCTAGTACGTGCTGTAATTTTCGGCTTTGGTGCGATTGCGCTACGAGCAGAAAGTTTCGAAATGCCGCCGACGAAGTTTTGACGCGAAGGGATGCCGTGTCGCCAAAAAATGAAAAAGCTTAATTGCGGGCTTCATCATTTGACGAGCGGCTCTAGGAGTCGCTTGTAGAAAGATTGTTACGATTTTGCGAAATACTGGTAAACAACGCAATGTAACCGTCATAATCTGAACCCTGAGACAAGGATAAATCAAATAACGGACAAGAAACTCATTGTCTCGGGGTTTATATTATGATGTTTCCTAACCGGCTCGCCTGCATATGTTCGCTCCTTGCAAAGGTTATCGTATCGCGGGCAGCGGACGGTACAAACCGATGACCCGGCGGCGGCGGCTCGGCGAGCTTGCACATGGGGGCCGCCGCCCACCCATCGCAGTCGGGCCGGGCTCGCGGCGCGACACTCGTCCGGATTCGGCCGGCAGCCCCGAAGGTGCGCTCGAAGCGTGAAAACGGCGTTGTGCAACGAAGGCCAAAGGCCATACACACCAAGAACGAGAAAAAGCCGATGCAAAGGCGTGCGCGAACGTAAACAACGGTAGAAAAGTGTCATCGTTCGCCGCTATGAAATGCGTCCCGCAAACTCGATAATCCGCGGCCGCATCCCTTTCCTGCCGCTCGTACTTTATCTAACTTGACGGCTACTCCGTCTCGCGGGGCATGCCGACGAAACGATCGGACGATCATCGGGATACGGGGTAATTGCTACAGCCGAGCGCGGCGCAGTTTACCATTGCTCTCGCTGCGAAGGGCCGTCGAGTCAACCACCAGCATGGTAGACACGGGTGTTCGACGTCATCAAGTGACGTAGGTGCAAGGCATGTATATGCCTTTAATAGTGTTGCACAGAAATAGGTTTAGTACAAATAATGTGTTTACTAGTGGCGTAGTATTTGCTTGATTTGGTCCTGATCTTGATGTTACATCTTTTTGCTTCTTCTCTTGTCTCTAGTTGCACTTCTCTGCTTGCACATCAACACACTTGCTCTCCAGTCTGTTTTGCTCACAAGTGTTGAGCACAAGTGCTCAAGTCTAAAGGCTTTTCCTCTTGTCCCTACTCACAGGATCTTTTTGGGGCCTTCCTCTTGGAATTTGCTCCAGAACTCAGACCCCACTGAGAGGACACTGCAACCAAGAACCTCACGTCTCTAGTCTTCTCAAAAGTAGTCTAACTTGCACTTAACAGCACCACTTGCAAAGTGCATCATCCCTAACTGAAGCAGGGTGTCAAGTCTTACAAAAAAATGTATGTAAAGCCTTGTGGCTTCATGTGCTGGAGTAGCCATATCAAAGACTGGCAAATTTTGTAGTGGTGCCGTTAACGTGCGAAAACAACCGTACCTACAGGGTCACAATGACCTTACGTCGTTATGCAGGGTCTTCTTAGCACAAGTCGAAAAACTTCCAAGGTTACCGCATTCCATGTACATTTTGGTGGGGTGTTGTTACCTTATCCTTCGTGCCAAGCATCAAGTCACTGGTTGTGCTCGTATGCGAGTTAAAAGTTTGATTGCAACACAGTCTTCTGCTCAACAGTGGCAATGTTTGTACAAAGTTTTTGAAGAAACTGTGTTGTGCAGTGGTGGCTTGCAGTGTCATGCATGATGCATGGGTGGTCTTTCATGAAGAGAGCAAAAAATAATTAATCTATTGATATGTCTCTTAAATTCTTAATGTATTAAAATTAAATTAATTTATTTTTGTGTGGATTACTAATTGTGAATTTGTAGATGCCAGTGAGGTCATTTCTATGCCATTTGCATCAAGGGGCATTTCACCAAAATGAAGAATTTGAGCCAACATTCTGGTAACGTTTTGGTTCTTTTAGGTCTTTACTTTGTACTGTGCTTGCTGATTGTATTCCTTTTTTTTTTGTGACAGTTCTTCCATTTTTTGTGTTTTGGTGTTTTCAAGCACTATGTTTTACTTGTGTTTAACAAGTGTGATGCAACCATCTTTTATGTATTCAGAAACCCCTACTGTAATGCTCTCTGAGCGATGTAGATACTGTATAAATAAATAAATACCATAAACAACTTTTTTTTCGGGGGCTCAATATTTCGCGATACACCGTAGAATACCGTGCATCCGCCCATTCCACATTAAGCGCCCATTACCAAATTTGTAAAATCTGAGAAAATATGCACAGTACATTTATGCATAAAATTGATGACCGGATAAGCGCCCATCCCCCATTTTTTTTCCGATTTTCTCCAAAGTTTGAGTGGGAGCTTGTCCGATATTTTACTGTAGGTCAAAGCTGAAGTTTTGAAATAATGCGCGGGTTCTAATTTTCACGATGCGGTGAGATCTCAATATGGATTCCAATGTGCTTACATTTGACCGGAATTGTTTGCAGGACCCATCTTTCGCGAATTGTAGGCGATTTGCGAAAATTAAGTCGTTTACAGTAAATAAATAAAAGATGAACTAGTATGGTCAGGTCTCAGTGTGCTTACAGTTAACAATAATAATCCCTGGAGAAGAGGAACAAGGGAGACAAAGGTCAAACACAAACTCCATACACAGCTAGGTGACTAGTGCATGACCGAAAAAAAAATCTGCCTGGTCCTGGTGTCTAACCAGGGACCTCTCCATTTTCAGTGGGGTGCAGTTAGTTGCAGCAGTTGTGCATGTTTTCAATATTTTTTTTAAATATTTTTTTACATGATTTTTAATAAAGTATTATCAGATTTGCTTTTCGTATTGAGCACTGGCAGTAGCTGGAAGTTTGGAAACCCTTCTCAGTTTTCATGCTTTATTTTGGGCATGTTGCTTGTCCCCAAAATTTTTATTGGTTTGGGTTCGCGACTTTCGGTTCAGCTCCGGTTCAGTACTGGGGAACAAAAATAATGGTTTGAACTGGTTCAAGCCAGTTTGAACCGCTAAATTAAGAATATATTTTCCGCGTTGTTTTGGCAATAGGCACTATTTCAACTGTGAAATGTGAAACTTTATAGCTTTTTATCCTTTGTACAATCCACTTATATTTTCAGGTACCAAAACTAATAAATTGCAATGTTTGATTTCAACGAAACGGTAAAAAAAAAAAAAAGAAAAAAAGATTAGCATGCAAGACAATGTGTTTTTAAGACATCATCTATTTGTTTACCTCAGTCGCATATCACTTACTTGAATTGGAAGGTTATAAGTCTGGTAGGTCACCTAAAATACCCGTGATTGGTACAACTGCGTCGCAATATTAAAAGTTGAATCCAACTTGTGCTCTTGAACTTGGGAATTAATTGCTGTGCATAAGATCATAAAATGGGCGCCTCCTCGCCATATTTATCGTGAATCTAGTTTATAAAATATGTTTCACAATATATATGATGAAGACGCAACTCAGCTGAAAGCAAAAATATTTTCAAAATGTCACAAAAATTTTATGACAAGCCCTTGCAGTCTACTGTTTATAGAAACACTGGCAATCACAACGCTTTTTCTCATGACCAACATTGTTTACTCTCGGCACCATGATGCCGGCCAATAATCGTAAAGAAAAATGTGATCAAAATTGTTCTCTGACCGACACGCTGTTTACAAACAAGCCCGCGTTTGCCCACACCAGGTGTGGGCACTACGCATGCGCAGAAACCGAATTCGAGTGAACTGAAGCTTCTGCGCATGCGCAGTGCCGTTGACAGCGTCACCGCAGCTGCGTGACGTCAAAGACTGGTGTTGGTCTATACGCACCTTCGTACTCGGATTGAATCTGGCCTAAAATAGCGCGTACCCGAGTGAAAATTTTTGGCATAGCTTGGCATTTGAGGTTTGTTCTTGACAAAATGGTGGTCAATTCGATTGGCAAATAAGCATCATCCTTGCAAATTTTTGATTGTTTGTTAAATAGAACAAAGTGGTACCTCGTACTCTACTCGACATTGCAGTTACTTAATTGGTCACTTTCTGGCGGTGTGCGTGCACAATCGTCATAGTTCCTTCACAAGCCCCCGTCTTTGTTTTCGTCCTGCCCACAGACCCAAAATTGTTGATCATCATGTAAAAGAGGCAATAGCAGACTTCTATATGTTTGAGGAGTTAAATATGTGTCAGGGAACACATCATTATTGAAAGCATCTTCAAGCTCACAAATTTGTTTAAGGCTCTCACAAATCACGCTTAAAAGATTTGCAGAACATATTTCAGATAATTTGGGGGTGCATGTACTTATGATATATGTCTTTAACCCTTCCATTTCTATATGTCTTTAACCCCCCCAAAATCTTCCATTTCGCTGGGGCCTCCTCTCCCCTTTCTCCCTCATACAGCATTTTGTCATGGGCGGCCCCCCCCCCCCCCCCCCCCCCCCCCCAAAACAAAGTCCTGGCTACGTGCCTGGTTCTCATTGTATCAGTGACCATATCTGACTGACATTCCCTTGTCAGCCTCTAAGGTATAAGTGTCTTTCCTTAGGATTCCGTGAAAAGAAAGTCAAGATATTGGTTGCAACTGCCATTTGCTCCCAGAAGTCTGATCACGCCAGTTGTTTTTTCGTCTGCACAATCTCAAATAAACCAGATAATGTGCTCATCTTTTAACTTGATTTATAGCGAGGGACATTATTTTAGATTACATTAGTAATCTAAAATAATTAGATTGTGCGGGTAATATGTTAAAACCGTACTAGAACTATGCAAAGAGCAGTTTGATTTTTTTTGTCTACACGTTGACAAAGCTGGCTCTTGAAGCACCCAAAGTATGACATTCTGCACTGAACATAAATGAACAGGTTTCCTTTATTGAAAAAATGTATATACATCTTAAATCTTACACATATATAATTTCTGCCCCTCTCTTCTCCTGGGCACCAGGCTTAATTTAGCAAGTTTGATTAAAGGAATGGGTGGGGGATAGCACGGCCAACAGGTTAAGAAAACTTGCTTTTCCCTGCCTCCGAGAAAACTGGATGCTAAGCATAAGATGGACATAGATGCAGTGTTCCCTTCTAAGGAGGATTCTGTACACGTGAACCGCTCAAGCGATCCAGGCAAACGTAAGAGAGACTCGCACGTGCAGGTCAACAAACGCAAGAGGCTTGCATGTACAAGTCAACAACAGTCTAAAATAAAAACAACCGGTTCTGCCACCACACTGTTACAACATTTGCTCGTGGTCTTAGTGCAAACACAACAAAAACAACAGTGACTGCTGGAGATGCCTAGAGTGTCCATGGTTGCTCGACGACGGAGGTGCATCACCGTCTTTCCCGATTATTGACGCTTCTTTGCCACCCGGGTTGTCTTGGCGACCTGTTGTCTCCTGTTACCGCCGGTGAAGAGCGATGTCATCATCTCCGAGAGTTCTGGCATGTCGTACTTCGGCATCTGCATCTGGTTCATTTCCTGCAGGTAGATCAGAGAGGAAAATTTCAAACGATGCTTGAAACCAGCCCATGTTGACAGACAAGAAGAAAATGATCCCTAGAGAAGGGAAACAAGGGGGATAAAGGACGAACAGAAATCTCCAGACACAGCTAGGTGACTTGTGCTTGACAGAAAGAAATCTGCCTGGTCTTGGTATTGAACCAAGGACCTCTCCACTTCCAATGCAGCGCTCAGTTCAGTTGGTAGAGCACTCCACTGGAAATGGAGAGCTCCCTGGTTCAATACCAGGACCAAATGGATTTTTTCAGTCGTGCACCAGTCACCTAGCTGTGTTTGGAGATTTCTGTTTCTCTTTTTTCACCCTTGTTTCCCTTCTACAGGGATTATTTTTGTCATTCTTGTCCAGCCTGCTTGCACCTTTGCATTTAATTGCATTATTATTATTGAGACATCTTTGACACAAAATGGCAGCTTCTGGTGAACTACTACCGCAACAGTGGTTAAAAGGAAGCTGAAGCGGTTTTTGTATTTGAGAAAACACGCTTAAAGGGCAACTCCACTCAATTGTGAAGATTTCGGGAAAATGAGTGATTTTACATTAAAAAGCCCTAGTAAAAGATACTACATCATTTGCTTCGCGAAAAATGGGACATATATTTTTAAATCTAATTTTAAACACGAGCAGAAACCGAAACTTCGGCTCCTTCCGGCAACATTAGCCTCGGGCTGCCAAGAACATGGCTATCAGGAGATACGAGATGTCACGTGATCCTCTATGCAATGACGGGCGGGATAGGGGAGGGTGTGTGCCAGGTGCAAGTGTCGTCTGCACCGCACTCTTTACCACGTTTTTGTGTGTACGACTCTTTACGTCTGAACAACTGCGGCATAAGTCTGCGCATGTAGTGTCCATAGTGCGGATGAAACTACGAGAGACAATTATCACAAACGGTGATGCGACGACGGCAGTAGTGACGTGGGAGACGGCGGTAACGGCGGGGCCACGGTGGGGCGGCAGGACAGTTCTCAAAAAGCGCGCTGCGCAGGCGCGCCAAAAAAAAAGGTTTCCGACGTCGCCCATTACGCTTGGCCGGATAAGTAAAAACAAGCAAAAGGGGGTAATGGTGATGACGTTTAACTCAATGTTGGCTACGCTTATGCCGTAGCCTTGACTGCGCTGTTGGTTGCGCCTCAATTCGCCCGCTTGAGTCAGCCGATTTTGGCAACTTGGCGAGTTGCAAAGTTTGCCGGACCATTTCAGAAACATTTAGACAGAGCTCCTATGTCATAATATTTCACATATGGTCTCCCTAGGTGATACTGAAGAGGACTGCATTGTTTTTTCAAGAACAAAAATTAAGTGGAGTTGCTTTTTAAATTTTCTTCATTTGATTCCAGGAACACGAATATTGACATTATTTTTTTTTTTAATTTGATGCATGGACGCTGCAGAAAATCATTTTCAAAGTACCGCTGAGGGCCCTCCTTCCCGGAGCGTGACGTCACAAAAGGAGTGTTCAGAATCTCCGCTCTCGCGCATCTTCAGTGCCTCTGAAAATGTGCGCGCGCGCGCACTCTTGCTGTTTTTAGAAAGGGCACAAAAAGACGTCAAGACTGGTGCCAGTGTAGGGAAATATACCTTGCAAGCTTGAGATTGCACGCGCGGCCCTCGAGCGACACCCGCTTGGCGACCGAAAGATTTTCTTATAACATAACGACTGGTCTGAGGCTTTTTGAGTTTTCTCGCGTTTAGTTACAACTTCGGGGAAAACGAGCGTGATATTCAAATTCACAGGATAAAAGATTGTTATAATCAACCTCCATCTCATTTTCTGAAAAATGTGTTTCACCCTCCTTTCAGGAAACCAAAGGAAGCACGCAAAATGTAAGTTAACATGCAAAGGAAGTCATGAAACGAATTTACAATGAAAAATAAAAAATTTTAGACCCATATTTACGGCGCTATACAAATTTGTAGTTGGTGCCGCGGAAAAGTGGCCGCTACCTGTCACGTGACTGGCTGCTATTTGTCACGTGGTACTTGCGCTCTTTCAGAAGCTCCATATGGTCTCTAAAAGTTACTTATTCATCTTTGTTTCAAGTGCAACAAAAAACAAAGAATAATAAGTAACTTTTAGAGCCCAAAGGAAGCCCCTGAAAAAGCACAAGCAGACGTGATAGACCTGTGCGCCGGTCAGATGACAACGGCGGCGGCACGGAGCAGACGAACTTGCACGGCAGGTGGCGGCGGCGGCAGCAGCGTGGAGAAACGCGTTGAAACGGCACGCAATACGCTCAGCGTGCGGCGGCGGCGTCACTTTGAGCAGGCAGCGGCGCCGCGCGACGGCGCACAGGTCTACCACGTGACCCGCAGTGGCTCCCGCAGGCGCGAACTACAAATTCGTTTTACGCCGTAAATATTGCTCTAAAAATTCTATTCTTCTTCGTAAATTTGTTTTATAACATTCTTTTTCCATCTAGGCTGTTTAAAAAAAAAATGCTTTTTTTCCTTTGCATGTGTCCTTTAATGTCTACAGAAAGCGATTGCCATAATCTGACTTGTCTTTCCTGCCCGTCTCGGCAGCAAAACGAGCAGTCAGACACATATTTCAGGTAGTGACGAAGAACATATTCTTTATTAATTAACATCATGTGGTGTGATATTAAAACAAAGCCGTAGAAATTCTTTAAAAAAAAAAAAAACAAGTTAGAGGTGAATTTAGTCATATTTTTGTTTTGTGAATTTGAATATCACAAGGATTTGACGTGAGCACATCAATAAATAGGCTTGAGAAAAACATGAAAACCAACCGCTGGATGTGACATACAATGTGGTTTCAACTGCCTTGCACTTGCCACTTGTGAGGGAACGCGTGCGGCTTTTTTGACTGCTCGGGTAAATGCTTGCGGAAGATGTGGAGATGTTGAGATCTCTTTATAACATGTAACGGTTCTCACCTCTCACCGAATGGGAAGGAGGGGCTTCAGAGCTATTTTGAAAGTGCTGTTGAGGCTACTTGGCAGGCATGTAGCCAAGATTTTGTTTCGGGGGGGCCCGCCCATGACAAAATGCTGTATGAGGGAGAGGGGAGAGAGAAGGCCCCAGCAACATGGAAGATTTTTGGGGTGGGTGGGGGGGGGGGGGGGGGGGGGGGCCGGGCCCCATGAACTTTATCCCCCCCCCCTTGCTACGACGTGCCTGCTACTTGGCACATGAATCTAAAATATCATTTTGGTATTCGTGATTTTGCAGGCCAAGTGAAGACGATTTAAGTGTTTTCCCTTGAATAGAGAACTGCTTCAGTTGTCCTTTCAGCTGCCAGGTCGTGGTGTCGCATGGCGTCAATCAATGTGTATATGCCGATTAAATTTTCCTGCTAGATTTAGAAGAAAAATGCTTCTTGTGTGGCCAATAATGTGTGAAGCAACCTGACTTTGTGTACTATATAACTTCTAACCAGTTCAATTAATCTTTGACTAAAGCAGATAAATTTCTGGGCATAGGGGGGGGGAGGGTTCCACGAAAAAGGATTCCATGCTTTACAAATGGTTCTCTTATTTTCTAAATTTTTGTAATGGAAGTTACATTAACAGGTCCCTAACCTCATATGTTAACTTATTTTACCCCCTTCTATGTGATACGCAATAAGCAAAAGTCGAACCTACGACAAGTGAAAGAGAACAAAACGGTCAACTTACTCGCTGAGTTTCGGGGTCTGCAGCATTCATCAGCTTGGGCAAGACCATGATGACCAAAAGAGGGACCACCATCATAAGCACCTGTGACGGAAGAAAAAAAAAAAAAAAGTTTGCAAACAATGCTCGGGTACAAGTCGCATATTTTAGTGCGCAGACTCGAGGGACATAAGTGAGGAAGAACAAAGAGCATTAGCTCGCACAGCATCTAGGTGGGGTATGCCGCACCCCAATTCCAAGCCACGACGCCCATCGAACCAAGTGCGCAGAGCACTGTCAGCCAAAAGAGCAAAGAATAGCTTCCGCTTAATACAGACAATGCAGAAAAATGCCAAAATCTTATTGAAATTCCATGGTCACCAGGAACTTGCCCCAAGCTCCCAAAGAGGTCTGCAAGCATTTTAGCTGTAGTCAAAGGATGGCACTGCTACGAATGCTGCTTTATGATGGAATGTCGGTTTACCTGTTTTTAGAAGATGTTTCGCATTTAACTTGGGAACAACTTCCTGTAGCAGTGAGGTCAGAGCTATAGGCACCTGTGTGATCATATTCCTCGAGAGCTGACCAAAATTATGCGTGCATGCACACACATGTGTGCACAAACACACATTCTCTCTCTCTCTCTCTCTCTATATATGTACTATCTCTCTCTCTCTCGTCACCTCTGAAATGCCACAGAAAGTTCCCCTTCGAGTATAAAGATCCCTAGAAGGAACATCACGAGTGCAATGACAGAGACAACTTTGCCACAAGAAGGAAACCTCTTAGACATATTGCTGTATTAGCACTAAAACTACTAAGTAGGCTTCAAAGTAACGACGCTTCAGCCATTTTGGTTCTCATAATCGATGTTGCCAATCCTAATGCCATCCTTTAGAAATTTTAAAACAGTCCGCAACAGCAAAGTTATATCAGCTGAGCATCCAAACATCGCATCTAAAGCTCGAGAAGTCACATTTTCTAATCGTAACTATTGCCCATTGCTGATTGTACCCGCCCTACACTAAGCACCAACGTGGCAGCACCCACAACCTAATCGGGAAGTGGAATGCCAATACTCCGAGTGTAGCCTATGTAGCGGCTCTAATTAGTGCCACAGAAGTTACCTTCACCATACAAATTAAGAGAGAATAGACTGCAGTACAGTTTCCGCGAGAACAGAGCTGACATCTCCCGAGGGACGACGCAGAAAGACCGCAATGGTGACGCTCACCATGGGGTTCATGAGGAAGTCGGTGACCCTCCACGTCTCCCGGATTTGGAAGTACTGGAACGGTCCGCGGCTTTTGAGCTTCAGCGGGTATGTGAGGGTCTGGATCAGGTTGGACTGGATGTAGTTGACGCGGCGGGCCCTGAACTTCCCCTTGGAGTTGATGTCCACGCGGACCGGCTCGTACATGTAGTCCGGGTTTGCAACCTCCACCACGTAGGACCCAGGCGGGAGGTTATGCACCATAAAAGAGCCGTCATTCCTGAAACAAACCAGAAAGCGTTTTCGCACGCGCGGTTAGAGGCGGCGAGCAGCCAGAAAGCAGGAAACCCTGCCCCAAGTCCTCCTTTCCATTCGAGAAAGAGGAAGACCCTCCTCCGTTCCCCGGGGAGTAGCTCAGAGACCCGCTCCTGTTGGGCAAGGAGAAGAGTGCGAAAGGGAACGGAGAGAGAGATGCAGTCAACCAATTTTCTGCCCGGCAGGAGACGATCGTGTAGGTCGGCCTTTAAGGCTGATTCACACATTTATGCTTGAGATGTTTCGAGAAATTTATAGCAATTACAACATTTCACATTGTCTCAAGACGAGAAAGTGTTCAATTGTTTAAATAAATAAAAAAAATGTCACTCTTCTAGGAAAAAAAAATTAAGAAAGTATTTACGTTACTTTTTTTTTTTTTTTTTTTTTTTTTTTTTTTTTTTTTTTTACGCATTGAAGGAATGCATGTTTGAGCTCTCCCATTGCCCCAATCTGATTTCAGTTGCTGGACTGATACGGATCAAGGTCTAAAATATTTTCCGCTTTAGACTTGAACGGAACTATGAGGATTTTCGGAATCATACTTGAGAAATCCTAGCTGTTCCCCGCCGTTCACGATGATTCTTGTTGATGTGAGCCATTCGGGACTGGCGACTTCTGGGGGGACAACCTTGCCTTCGATGACGTGCCTGTCTGAAACAGCAGCGGCGTCTTCGTCCATCGCAGCCACTGAGGAAACGCTTCGGCCTAGTAAGTAGATCCCGGCCAGCACGAAGAACTGGAAATACTGCGAATAAAACTCCATCTTTCTTTCGGAAACTGTTCAAGAATCACGGAAACGAGCAACCATTCAATCCAGTCACCACAAGAAATCCCCCCAAACAGGCTAGGCTAGGTTTGGATTGTATCGGCAACTAGACAGGAGAAAAAGAAAGCAACGAGCGAAAAGAAGTTAACAAAGAAAGAGAGCATCAAACATATACGGGAGACGAGCAGTCAGATACCATTATTTCCCTAAATGTCTTATTTTTTTTTCTTTCTGTATTGACTATAACTATTGACTATGTCAAGCAAAGAAGTCGAGGAGGTTCCTTGTAAAGTGGACAACAAACAGTTGAGACCTTCAAGCTGTCCACCCTTTTCCTCTTACCTTTCATGCTACTTCAGTTTCAAGGTTAATGACATTTTATTTAACCTCTTTAGCATTAAATTGATAAAGCTTTCACTGGCTCGCCTTCTGGTGAGCTGGCAACGCTGGTGTCAAGGAAGCGGAAAAGCAGTGTGGGAAAGTTGGCAAAGCGAGAGTGGCGAAGGCGGCGGCGGAGTCGTATCTGGAATATTCTGCGCTACTACACGTGAGGCCCACCTCCTTTCTACGATCTTTCTTGTAACGCATCGCTTGCGCTGTTCACATTTGGCACATACCGATCTCTGCCTCGTAATTACACCGCTTCAGCACTTCGAGCTCAAAATCGCTAGCTTCTGTCGGGGCTCTGACGAAGTTGCTCTGTTTTTGGCGTCTTCGTCGTAATCTTGTTTACGGGATCCGCGTTCCAACAATTTCTTCTCCCCGGTATCCTCGTTCAAGGACCACGCTGCCGCACATTTTTTAATTATTATCGTTTTGTTTCAAAAGCGGTGTCACAACATAATATTGACGAGCTCAGATCACGAGCAGTAATATTCAAGCTCTTGTCTTTAGCCTCGAAGAATGTTGTGCACGCGATCTAATTTTTGAATTTCAATTGCGCGGGAGTTGTGTTGATTGTTTTGAATATTAACCGTTAGCTAGAGCGGCGTGTAGCGTTTATGACTGATTTCACGCCTACAGTGGGTCACACGCGGTCCCAGAATGTGGCTTTGGCCATGGCTAGAACCGCGTTTACAATCTTTATATTTTATGTGTGTGTGCGTGATCTAGGTGGTGCGCTTATCTCAGTATGACTAGATTTGTTATCATTCGCAGTTAAGGCCCCAAGCAACATTTTTGAAGGACGCATCGCATTGAATTGATGCCGGCATTTTTCGCCGCCAACCTGATGCATGAAGACTGCTGTGAACCGTATAAGCCAAGGTCAAATCATACAAGACGAAACTAAAAAATATTTAAAAAAAAAACCTTAGAGAAAAAAAAAAATTCTGGAAGCTGCAGAGAGTGCTAGCCAACATTCTTCTAAGAGCCTTCGCTTCTTCAGCAGTGAAGTCGTTTTGCTCGGAGGAAGAGAAAACCTATTAAAAATAAAGGGCCCTAAATTCAGGGCCAGAAATTTTACTCGGGCATTGAGATTGAGAGACTGGTCCTCATGAAGTAACTCTTGTGATGTCACCTCACCATGTGTGTTCTACACTTTGCTCTTGTAGTTTCAAGAAACTACTGCTAAGCTGCTTCACCCCGTGTAGCTCATGATTTCGAGGATATGCGTTGCTTTGTTTTCAGAACCATGCTAGCTACTCTATGAAGGCAATTTATACGCACGATGCAACTTTTCGCTTCTCGACTGGTTCACAGGGGGTGGCGAGGGCAAGTCTTGCATAAACACACCTCAGTGAATCGCACGCTAGCTTTTATCGGCTTCCAGATTTTATTGCAAACTTAGTAGAAAATGCGGTATATAAAATGTCTATAAAATATGCTGTGAAAGCTGTGGCATAGCTCTGTGATAACATGCCCGCTTGATGCACAGCAGACCCAAGACCTAATCATGACACCGGCAGGTGTGCTTTTTCAGCGTTCGGCAGTATCGACAATAGATGCCCTACACTAGCGACACATTTTAAAAAACACTTTTTTACACCTATTGTTGTAAAATGTTATGTTGTGAGTGGAACGTTGCAGAATGGTAAGGAGCCAAAATCCACCTCTAAATTAACTAACTGGCACGAGCTCCCCGCGTAGTGTGTGTAGCCATTTCCGGTCGAGGCACACAATGTCGTCACTCTTTATAGAAGAGGGTATTTGTCAGTGGCTAAGCCAGGAATTTGTTTCGGGGGGAGAAGGGGGTGCTTGAGGTGGCTGTGATGCCCATGTCTTGGGGTGCGGGGAGGGGGGGGGGGTATCAAGATGCCTGTGTATGTTATAGGGTCGGGTGGATTTTAAGGGGTGCTGAAGGCTCATAAGCCTCCTCCCTGGCTATGTTGCTGGTATCAATTGCTTTCATTCATGTTGTGTTCCCGTTAAATACCAGGCAAGTGCCCACTCAAAATTTGGAGGTAATTGCCAAAAAGAAATGGCAAATGGACGCCTGTCCGGTCATCCATTTTATATATAAACGTACTGTGCATATTTGCTCGGAACTTAAAAATTTAGGAATGGGCGGATGCACGGTATTCTACGATATATTTTTCTACAATAACTTGTCATAAGAGTCGGGATGCTGAAGTCTTTTCTTTCAGGAGATATTTTGTCCTGATGGGAAAAGACAACCAAAACGAACAAAAAACAGTTGGAGGGGGTGCAAAAGAAAGTTAGAAAGTATTGGCAGAGCGTAAAAACATGGCGTAAGTTGCTTTGTATGTCGACCGTTTCCAGGTAGGGGACACACACATATTGGGACCATGGAAAGCATGGAAAAGGAGCAGCTGCTGCAGTTGCAGGCCTTCGTGGAGCTCTGCAGGCACAAACCAGAGGTGCTGCACAAACAGGAGCTGGCTTTCTTCAAGAACTACCTGGAAAGGTGGGGCGCCTCGTGGTCGAATCGGGTGGTGTCGCGTAAGGGTACGCCACCGCTTCTGGTGGTGACTCCCAGACGCCATATTTTATTGCGGTTGCATGGACGGTTCTTTAACGACCTTTGGACACGGTGCCCGTAACAAGTGTCCGGTGCGTCTACCACGCCCTCGGTTTCAGCCCCTCGATTTTCACCTGATGGTGTGGCGCTTGCGCTACTTTGTTGCCTGCCACGATCCTGGCAGCGGCACCGGAGTGAAGGCGGGCGGACATGGGGGGGGGGGGGGGTAGGCGCCCACTCTGTTGTAGGTCACTCTTCAGCTTGACAGACCACCGCAACTTTTCATTTCATTTATTTTATTTCATTTATTATGTCTCTCAGGGCCCGAAGGCATTACAGAGACGAGTGGGGCACAGTAAGTAGTACAAAGCAAATAACAATGATAGGGTAAAAAATGCACAAAATAACTACTAAACATCATTTAACAAGTTAGTAATGGCACTGTACATGGAATAACAAAAAACAATGAAAAGCCAAAAAATACAAAAACATTACTACTAAACATTATGTAACAGGTTAGTATAATGGCAATCTTAAATTTATCCGAGGCAGTGATTGTGACAATGGCTTTGGGGAGGCGGTTCCAGTGAATCGAGGTTTAAGGCAAAAAAGGGGCATTGAAGGTAGATGTGCTGCAATGAGGGATCCCAACTTTTAATTGATGATCGGTGCGTGATGATATGTAAGATGGTTCAGAAAATAGTCCTTGTCAGGGAGTAGGGTTAGAGTGATATATCTTATGGAACAAGCATAGACGGGATATCTTTCGACAAAGAGAAAGATAGGGCAAGGATAGAGGTGCTTTCATTAAAGTGGTGCTAGCTTAAAGGGATTGTCCGGTCGAAGTTGGAGGTACTCAAGTTTTGCCGCTCGTTAAGTCGAGGGAGCCTTCGTATAGACAAACGTCTTTCTTATTTTGATATATGATGTCCCCATATTAATTAAGCCTTTCATGAGCATCTGTACAAAACTCCACCCTAAATTTCGCCAGGGTCCATGGTTGACGTCCGTAGCTGCTGCGTGACGTCGCATAACGCAGAGGACTGTCAGATGGTAGGGATAACAAGCGTTGGTCGACGGATGTCTCGCATTTTGCTTCGAATTATATAGTCTCCTAGGCTGTACCCTACTGAACTATGTTTCTTATAATGCAGTCCCCAAGCTTATGCAAAAAAATTTGCGCCGTTTAGCAGGATATTTCTCGTAAACAGCCGTTAGCTTCGAGCAAATGTATGCCGTTTTGCGCATACACAACTGCGACGGCCACCGATCGGACGAGGAACACTTGCAAAGAGAAGGATGCAGAGTTTGCCTCTGAAGCGGCGTCTGGGTCCACATATCGGCGGATGCACTGGATCAGTGATGCGGCTGTGGGTCGTTTCCTCGGAGGTTGTTGTAATTGGAGGCGATGCCCGCGTGTCGAAGGCAAACGGTGAATCATTGAAAATGCATGTAACATTTCCAGATTGTCACTTGACTTGGATGATCTCGGTGAATCGTAGCTGTGCTCCATTTTCACTCGCGGGTCAAACAGAATCGGGCTGCACGCATGCTAAATATAACTTTTGGCATTGTTTCAAGATGGCCTAGCTGTTGGTTTCGGTCTCGCTGCATAATCAAATTGATTGATCCGATTTGGGCGAGGAGTGGGTGGACGTAGTTGAATATTGTCGGCACAACATCACACCTCAGCTTACGAGCCTTCTGTCTCCTTAGAGTTCAGCTCATAGCTCTCTTCTGTGAAATGATTGCTGCATAAGCGGGATCTCGATCTTAACGAGAACCCAGTGCTCCCTACGCACAGCGAGAATCTATTTTGCTCGTCGCCGCACGTCTCGAGGGTCGCAGGTGCTGCCCAGTGGTTGTGGCACCCAACCGTGCAACAAATTCTCACCCATTCACGAAACAAGTCGAGCACAACAACGAAAATGAAGCACCCTACAGCATTCACTCGCAGGCAAATGACGAGACGGAAATGCTCGCTTTGCGTTATGTGACGTCAGAGCTTCAATGAAAGCACCGTTTATGCTAGGATGCAATGGGGGCAGTTTAAAATTTTATTACTGATGCAGAATGTCATGTAAAATTCAGATATTGCACGGACGATGCATTTAGAGGTAATAACAATGATATTCAATTGTTTTCTCGAACACAAAGTTTGACCGGACAATCCCTTTAAGCAGCCCTTGAGTAGGGACGCCGCAATGATGGCAAAGGTTGCGTTTAATCATAATTTTTGCTGGAAGTGTTACAACCGTTTGCCAGGATTGTGACGTCCGACGATATGGGACA